CCCAGGCTGGGCCCCGCGGCCTCCAGCCCACCGGCCGGCCGCGTCCCCCTCCGGACCCCGGTTTGGGTTTGGGGCGCGCGGGCCCAGCCCGCGAAGGTGGCTCTCTCTGTTGCATTCACCTGCGCCGAATTTTAGCGTTTCCCGAGCCTCTGATCTCTTTCTTCCCTCAGTGAGAATCAACTGGGAGAGCCTTCTGGAGGGGAAGACTCAGCCAAACACACCCAAGGTGATACAGTACTGGGGGTGGGAGGAGATAACTTCCAAATCCCATGCTTAAGATTAACAATGGCGTGGGGATCGTCTGGAGAGACGGTCCTTGGGAATAGCCTGTCTGTGTCAGGCTTCCTAGGAAAAGGGGTGGCCAGTTGTCACCGCTGACATCCAATAAGCGACCCACGAGGAGAGATTCCTCTCTCAGCTTGGCAATCTCCCTCCAGTGAAGTGGGTATTACTGAGCCAAAGTGGCTCATTTCCTTTTTCTCTTTATACAGTATCTCATTTATCACAGAAACGTTGTCACTTTATGCTTGTAGTAAATTCTTCAGGAAGAGTTAATGCTTTAGCCCGACACTGGTGGCTCATGCCTCTTACTGTATCTCAAGAAACTGAGATCTCAGGATCGCAGTTTGAAGCCAGCCCAATTAACCAAGAAAAGGCCAGAAGTAGAGCTATGGCTTGGTAGAACCAAAGGCTTGAGTGAAAAAGTTAAGGGATATCTCCCAGTTCCTGAATTCAAGCCCCAGCACTGGCGCGCGCGCGTGCACACACACACACACACACACACACACCAAAAACAACCACCATAGCAAAGATTAATACTTTATAGCTGGGCACATTCTCCTGTGGTCCTAGGTATAGTACTCAGGAAGCTGAGATCCAGAGAAATCACAGTCCAAAGCCTGGTCCCAAAGGAAAGTCTGTCAGACTCTACCTGCACAATGATCAGTAAAAAGCTAGTCATAGCCCCACACCGGTGGCTCACATCTAAGGATCACAGTTCAAAGCCAGCCCAGGCAGGAAAATCCACGAGATTCTTATCTCCAATAAACCACTGGAAAAACCGGAAGTGGCCCTGAGGCTCGAGGGGTAGAGCACTGGTCTTGAGCTGTGAGCTCAGGAACAGCACCCAGGCCCAGAGTTCAAGCCCCACGACCAGGAAAAAAAAAAAAGCCAGGCATGGGGCTGGGAAGGTGGCTCAGTGGTAGAG